TTTGGAAGCCGATTCTCCCCTTACTCCGGAGCTCACTTCGGAACCAGTACCTGAAAAAGTCAAAGTCCCCCAGATCGGGCTATATGATGGAACATCTGACCCTGACTCGCATCTCGGTCATTATACTTCTTGGATGGATCTACATGGGGCCTCAGACGCACTTCTGTGTCGTATGTTTTCGCTTACACTGGGGCCTCGGGCCCAAAAATGGTACCATTCCCTTCCTCCTCATTCTATTTGGAAGTGATAACAATTGAGGTCGGCCTTCCGATCTCATTTCATTGGGGCCCAAGTCTGCCTCATCCCAAAAGAATCTCTTGCAAATGTCACTCAAAAAGACGATGAAAGTGTTAAGGATTATATTGCCCGATTCAATGACCGAGTTCAGAATATGGAACCATGTCATCCTGAAACATTGCTTGTCATGGCTATTGCTGGGTTAAAACCAAACTCAATTTTCTGATGGACACTATGTCAGAATAAACCGAATACTTTTCAAGAATTTCTCGCTCGAGCTCAGCAACATATTATAGCTGAGGAAGCCATGTCGGTCCCCGACTTTAATTTTAATCCGAAGTCATCTAAGCCGGGAACCGATGAGAAGAAAAAGAATAAATACTTTGATAGACAAAACAAGACTCAGTTCAGGGGGCCTCCTCGGGGAGATCCCAACGATCCTGAAGTTCGAGCGGCCCGAAAACAATATTCTACTGATGTAAAGTCTGGTTATCAAACCGTATATTCTGCTGGAGCAGCCACCATATATGAGGAGATCAAAGGGAAGGGCATTTTGCCGGATCCCAAACCACTTCGGATGCCCGAAGAAAAACTGGACAAATCCCAGTATTGTGATTATCATAAGTCGCCAGGGCACAACACGGACGAATGTTTGAGTTTGTTAGCCGCGTTGTTGCGTTTGATTGGCCATCCACAGCTCAGAAAATTTTACCGTAATACTGATCCCCAGAGGCGAGGTCCGGGACGCCAGATCGAACCCTTTGATGAAGACGATGAGGAGGACCGAGGTACCATGCCAAAACGCATCCGACAAGGAGACAAGGAAGTATTTATGTTCACCTCGGAAACATCCGATTCTAACTCTGCTGAAACTTCCCGAGGGCGTAAGCGAGATCGGTCTCCTAAACCGATGCAAATCACAGTCCACCGTGTCAACACCAATAACTCCCGGAGTACATTATCCCGTCGACAGATCAAGGCTTATGCCCGACAAGCCTACAACTCCGGCAGACAGGTCTACACTACCGATTTGAGAGATATTCTCAACAATCGGAACTGTCCCATAACCATTAATATGGAGGACGCTAATCACTTCGCGCACCCTCATTCAGACGCGCTAGTTATCACTGTCCCAATATGTAGAATTCCAGTTCATCGCGTCATGGTGGATACAGGGGCCTAT